GGCAAGATGCATTTGACTCTTGTTTAAAAGCGATGGAAAATGATTCTCTATCTAAGGCGTAAAGAAATTCCCAGTCAGTTATCAATGCTGGAATCTAAAATAGACATGATGGAGCAACAAGTCAGGCAGTTTAATATAGAAATTGTCAATCTGATAAAGTGTCGTGATGAAAAATTCATAGCTGTACTTCAAAACATTGGCTTAATTATTAAGCACAGAATGCCGCATATGGATAAAAAGATCCCCATCCAAAAAACATTATCATGAAATTCTCCACCCACAGATATATAAATTATTTATATTTCTGTGTCTCCACCAAAACGGGATGTGATTGCTTTTGCGCGGGTAGTAAAATGTTGTGTCAAATCAGATCAACTACTATTGAAGTAATATGTTAATACATAATAGCTCAATGTCAAGGTACCACGCGAAATATTTACGTGAATGAACATCTGGCACCCAAAAATAAGAAATTATTTCTACTCAGCCGTGAAGTGGCCAGAAAAAACAAATTGTCTAGATTAAACATGGTATTGTCAAAACGACACTTCTCCCATATTCTCAATTCGTAGTGAACAAGATATTAATAAAACTAAGCCCTAATAATAATATTATGAAATCAACTTATTGTTTTAAGTAATAATTATTTACCATTATCTAACCCACGCGTTCATAATTCTACTCGTATATACATAATAAAAGTTTTTGTGATCTCATTGTATGGTGGCAACAACAATTTACCAAAAAGTATTTGGCTATATCGTATAATAAATCTTAAAAATGATATTCAGTATACTGATAAACATAATTTATCTTATCACATTTATCATGCCACAAAATGCTCTGTGTTCTTAATATTTTATTTATACCTCACAACATTTTCTATCTGCATATTGCACAATTCAATTCTAATATGTTACCAAAATTGTCGAGCATTACGTACTAAACTGTATACCCACCCTTTATATGAATATTATCTCTCATACATACGACATAATCGTACCTATTAACGAAAACTTGGTTACACGTGGATATCAGCGACGATAAATTCATAGACGAAAGGTATCATATATTTAGAAAGGACAGAAAACGTGCAGCGACCGGCTGGCGAGACGGCGGAGGTATACTGGTAGCGGCTAGCGGTGCACCTATCACCTATCTTATCAATGGGTGCACCGTTCGCTTTGTGCTGCTGATGCATGACTTTGAGCCCCTCCCGACCCCGCCTCTTGAAATCGTACATATAAGTAATCAATCTTATTACTAGACTTATGCATTGCAAATTGCAAACCATGTTTATATTCTCTCAGCCGTTTGTATTTTACCTAATCAAAATTTTTGATAAATACATTAGTTTCTTTTATTAAATTTATTACAAATCCAATTTTAGCATCAAAAGTGCGAGACGTCTGGTAATGAGATGTGGTGGTATATACCATCTCGTACAATTCATTCAATCATTTATACCACGTAAGTGATAAATGCAAGGGCTGGTTTTTTTTTCAAAAGTTCGTCGTTTTTAGATTTACATTTGTTAAGACTGAGTTCTAACTTATTTATGTTAGAGTGCGACGTGAAACGGTTTAAATCATCCTGGAATTCTAAATGGTCATTAGTGTTGCTAATAATTTTTAACCGCACGTTTTTTTATAATTGGTGATTTTAATCTGCCGAATCTTGGCTGGAATAATACTGGCCAGGCGCGCCACAAGGATCTATTTTTGGTCCTTTTCTATTTATAAATGAAATTAATATGCGCTTCCATTCAAGTAGGTTCCTTTTTATACGCTGTTGACCTAAAGGTATACAAAATTATTAGCAACACTAATGACCATTTAGAATTCCAGGATGATTTAAACCGTTTCACGTCGCACTCTAACATAAATAAGTTAGAACTCAGTCTTAACAAATGTAAATCTAAAAACGACGAACTTTTGAAAAAAAAAACCAGCCCTTGCATTTATCACTTATGTGGTATAAATGATTGAATGAATTGTACGAGATGGTATACACCACCACATCTCATTACCAGACGTCTCGCACTTTTGATGCTGCTACCCGTTGCCGGCCTGGTTATTTATTGTTTGGTGTAGATAAAACTGTTATACTGCCATCTATCGAATCTTTCTGGCATTTTTCATAGCAATAAAGTACTGGATTCTCATATGCCGCCACCACACGACTTCTCTCCATAGGTCTAATCGAAAATAATATAAATTCGTTCGTACGCATTTATGGTTAGCACCTTTTGGTCTTCTTAAATTACTTTTTTTACATTTGCCTTTTGATAAGATTATATTTTTTATAGTTGCAATCACGTGTAACGATATCTCTCTTATCAATCGTTGAAGTGGTACTTAAATTAAGGAAATCCCAGTTATACATTTCTTATCTTCAGATACAAGATTTGTAATGGGTACTTGATCGATTTTTTTGTAGTAGTTTGGCCTTTCACGAAATAAGATACTTAATTATATTTATACAGGGTTATTTTTCGAAGACTATCCGAATTTTATATTTAATTTCAAATATATAAATAATGATATGACTGCCTCGCTGGTCTAGTGGTTGTTGTAGTGCGACTGCTGATCATGAGGTCCTGGGTTCGAATCCCGGGTTCGGCCAAAAATCAATTATTGAGTTTTTCTGTCAATAAATTCTCAGTAGTTCCCCGGAGTCAGGAAGTTGTCGGTATCTCACCCTCGTGCCTCGGAAAGCACGTAAAGCCGTTGGTCCTGCGCTTGATCTCTCTCCGGTCGTGTCGGTTTACCGTCCCATCGGATTACGAGAGTGAGGGAATAGAGAGTGCATCTGTGCTTGCACATACACTTGGGCACTATAATCCTGTCCTGCGCCGATGGCTAGCCTCCGTTGAGGCAGGCCGCCGTGGCCGAAATTCGGTCTGGAGGACATTATTATTATTATTAAATAATGATAATCCGTTATTGTAGTTTTTGAATATACTGGTAAATAAGCTTCTACTTTTGTATGAAATTATCTTTTATGGGCAATAACTACGCGTACGCGCGTTCCTCTGTGTGCGATTCTATTCACACCGTTTTGCCGACCGAGCGACTCTTACGTATGTGTGCGTGCATAGTAAAATGGTAGGCGTTAGATATTTATGAATGATAATAATCAGTTAAATAATACGTTACCACGCATTCTGAATTTAAAAGATTAAAAAGGACAACATTGTTTGAGATTTTTCTAATTAATTTTTCTTCACCATTCGCCCATTTTACTTATTCCGTACCTTTTCTACAAAGGTTGTATACGACAAAATCATTCTGTATAGTAGGACTGGCGACTCTTTTATAAAGTTTATTAATACCTTGTTTCTTATCGGTGGTCAGACATACCCTATCTGTTTATTGATTAACCTAATGGTCATGTTATAAAAGAAAAAAATAATAAACTAAATAACTAAAAAATCTAACTGCGTAATATTAATAACTAAAAAGGAAAAAATGCTATGTTTTTTGTTATCTGCTAAAGCGAATAATAATATAAATATAACTTGAATGTTACAAGATATTGCAGGTGAGGCCGACACATCAATGTTAAAATCTTTTCAATCTTTTCAATTAAGTATATTATGCACTCGAAAAACACCCGTTCTGGGGTCGGGCAAAAAAGTTAATTTGAGAAAGTTAAGAAATATATGATCCGTTTTAACTTTATAAACTCAGTGTAAAAATAATAGCCGTGAAAGCTCAAGGATGAAAATTCTAACTCACAAGGAGAAAGTGTTCAAATTCGATCCTGGGTTTCCATGTGCCACATCCAGACCGGAAACAATTATTTGTAAGCCTTAAAAACACGTTTTTCTGAAGTGACAATGTGCCGGCCGAAGCTCGAAAAACTGATAACCGATGGGGGAAAGGTTCTCGAGAAAAAATCTAAGTTGCATGTTTTCAAAATTACAGGCATTTAAAAAAACAACAGAAGTGAAAAGACTGTCACAGGCTATGAAATTTTTCGATTTTTTAAATGCCTATAATTTTGTAGTACTTAGATTTTTTTAATTTTTCTGACAACCAGCATGACTTGTCTTTTCACCCGGTTCCGGGTTAACGTCGAGTTTTGGGACAACGTGTATGTATTCTCAAAAAAAAAAAAACTCCACGTTTTTTGGGTAAAATAACATCCAAAGTCACTTCTGGCTCTCGATTTGATTGTGAAGTTTTATTAAAATCAGTTCAGCCATTCAATAAATTACAGGACAGACTAACAGATATTTAAAAAAAAAGATCAATGAAAGAATGATGATTATTTAAACATTACCGACAGACAGACGGATAGAGAAAATAGATAATGTAACATTATGGATAGGTACATAATATAACATACATTGCAAAAAATCTTATTTAAGATTATTAAGTTCCAAATTATCCTGAATTTATAAGATAGACGCTGGCACTCCAGATAAGGCGGATAATCCAAATCATAGTTTCTTCCGCCCGCGCTCGCAATCTTAATCAAAGTGATAGGTATCCGTCGTGAAATTACATCACGAAACAACGAGTGTTACCAGTGAGTACTATTGTTTAAAATATAATATATAAAACGTAGCAATGTAGCTTCTTTTAGAATTAACTGTTAGGTACTTTACAGAAAACTGAAACAATTTGCTAATATCCATAACCAAAGTATGATGTAGGTATTAAATTGCAAATGATCTCTGTTAAGTCTGTTAAGTTACACACAATTTTACAAATTAAATTTGTTTGATCTTGATTATACCCGTCGACTCTTGACAGGTAGGAAGGAAAGTGTACAAATTTAAATTTATTGTGTGTTTTTATGTACCATTTTTGGTAAAAATATGATCAGACTTGCAAAATTACACCCACTCGTGATAATGAGCATAAATACCAGTACAAAGTACTTGTTTCAAGCGTGACTCATTGCTAAGCCTTCCCTACGGAGCAATCAAATATAGGATATTTTGTAATAATTTTTGATTATATGAAAGGTTGCCTAATGTATGTTTTTAGGTACATGTTCGGCGCTGTCTCTGCTCACAAATACATAATCGCGTTTTGCATTGGAGTGGAGCTGCTGGCGGCTGGCACGAAACGCTGGCTATCTGTGGTGTACATCTTTACCTTCTCCTTCGTATCGGCGCTAGGTATAGGCGTCGGTATACTTCTGGTCGGTGGTGCCGGCGCCTCTGAGGCAGGCCCTTACTCAGTCATACTGCAGGTATTTTTTTAATTTGTCCTTCACATACTATGAGGAATAGTTTAACCAAAATTAAGGGAGTCGCACAAGTCGACTGATCTACCAGACTACATTCTAAAGTATTTGATGGGGTTATAATAAATAACTAGCAAAATCATCAGTGGTTATACACTGTTGGCCGTATGACGAAGCTTAACGCTCAACTAATGGGTAGGGTAGGAGATGTTCGCATTAGAACCAGGATAACCACTATGGTGGTTATCCTGGTTTAGTAAGCTGAAAGGATTAAGGCCCAAAGGATTAGTAAGCTGAAGTGGTAATGGGCCGGCCATATAGATCGAAGAATCGACAACCGATGGGGAGAAAGGTTCTCTCGTTCTCAGGCTCGTGTTTTTTGGCAATCCTTGAGGAAAGCCTGTGTTTATCTGTGAACTAGTGAAATGGTGTAACAATAAAAATAGATATATCAAAGGAAAAAAATAGCATTAAGTTTTGAGTTGATTAGTACATACAAATTTTCGAGGGTTACTTTATTTTTTTTTTTTTTACTTTTGTGCCCTTTTGCGTTTTCCCCCTTTTTCCCGGTTTTTTTATGTTTTTTCGCATTATGACACGACGTAACCCAGTGTGCTTTTCAGCGAAGGCCTCCTTCATATTCCATTGAGATCTATCAGCTAAAACCCAAAAGAATCTTACGAGTTAACCTTATTTCGTCCTCCCTTGGTCCTCTGTCTCTAATACCATAGAGTCATCCGTTTACCTATGTGCTCGGCGGTAAATGAAAACAATGTTTCGTGAACATTGTAAAGTCCGCCAACACGCACTGGAGCTTCGCAACGAACTAATCGGTCCAAAACCCTCGCAGAAATGAGTTCAAAATTTGTTCAGAAGTGGAAGAGTAAGGTTGTTACAATATTTAATATAAAATTTCAGGGTCTTGCGTGTGGGACACTAGTGTACGTGGTGTTCTTCGAGGTGTGGCGGCAAGATCGCACAGGCTTATCGCAGTTCCTCTGCTCTGTGGCCGGATTCACGCTTATGGTGTGTCTGGAAGTTGCCGTTGAGTTGGGTACGTATGTAAACGCTGAGCTTCGATATGATATACATTAAATATATTTGCATATTCTTTAATTCAGAGGCGACTGTAAAATAAAACGACCTTATTTCGTCTGTTTTAATAGAATTTAATGTAATTACTTCCAAGAAAATCCTTGTATTAATGAATATATTTCGTTAGTGCAGCGTAGTAGTGGTAGTGGCTGCGTAAGAATACCCACTATCCTGTATTATCCCGTGGGTGTCGTAAAAGGCAACGTAAGGAAACTTAAAACGATGATGGGCTCCTCTCTCTGCTAACCTCCAAAATAAAAAAATCTGCGGCGGCAAATGGCAATCATGGCAAAATCCCTCTTTTGCCTAAGATAATAAGAATAAGTGCATACTTTGAAGTGGTCAGTCTTTATTTCTTCCATTTGTTTAGACTGATTTGAATTTTCAATTTTAGCTGCCTGACGATGTTTCACCAAAGCAGAGTTCTAGAAGAAGACCCGGGAACGTCGACGTTGCTGTCCATTAGTTATGTGTACATATTATATTGTAAGAAGAAATAGATTAATAAAATATTTAATTGAAATAATTAACATTTTTGCATAATTTCAATGCAATTGCTGTGTATTGCCCGCGTAAAACAACCCTCTAACCCATATCATTCTGTAGGCGTCGGAGAAGACAGATTGAAATGGAACATGAAATTGGCAGACGCATCTTCCTGATAACAAGTAAATAATAATAAAAACTGCTGTTGCCAATCCACCTGACAAACTGTGAGGTAATCTTTGGGAGGCCTATATTCAGCAGTCGACTTGTGATGAGCTATAATGAATGAAAAATGATGAAAAATTCTAAAACAAAAGGATAAAAATACCTTTTGTATCCTGCAAAGGAATGTTAAGTATTTTAGGGAAAAAGAAAACACGTTATCATATATTTTAACAAATTAATAATTTAATCAGAAATTAACATTACATTATAACTGTAAAGTTACTTTGTTTTCAAGAAAATAGATATTTTCTATATTTCTTATATTTTTTATATATCGTATGTATATTAGGCTGATAAATGAATAGATATCGCGCAGGCGGATTAACACACATAATGGATAATTAGAATGAAGCATTACAACAAATTCTATGACAAAGAGACGACAAAGATTGAATTTATTAAAATATTTTTACTTTTGGTAATATTCGTGTACCTCAACACAGTCAGCTTAACTAATTTGATTGAGAGAAAGACAGAGAAAATTTCCGAAAAAACCCTTATTTCTACAGCTGGTACATGAGTTACAACTTTAAGCCATTTCGCCTTTAACATTCTTATATTCATTATTCCTAAGGCCGGTACACATTATTAGTTATACTTACAATAACATACTTTAAGTAGGTTTTTAATAAAGTTTCAAATGCTCAACTATCTAATAAAATATTGCATTTTGTTATGTTATCACATTGCTCTATAATTTCTGTAACTGTTTTATTCGGTTTAATCTGAATTATCTAACAATATACATGGAACATATTATATACTTTATTCAAATTCACACTAGGTAGTTTTACTATTTATTTAATACAATGTTTACATAATTCATAGCCAGAATAGCTGTAATGAAAAATAAATAAATACTATAAGCTATAAAATCTAATACTAAATACAAAATTCCTGTTATAAATCTTTTAAATAATAAAAAAACCTAATAATGTTAATTCAGGCACCATTTTCTTAATCTATAACTAAAGGAAAGCATATTAAATGTACAGGGATTGAATTTATTCTAAAATATTTTCTTTAAAGAATTTAATTTAAAATCATGAAAATACAAGAGTAATACATTTTAATAATTCAGAACTTAATATCACGGTGCCTACTATATTTTATAATGTTTCTACGTATCGTTGAATGCATTAATTTTATTAATAATTATTAAAAATCACATTTGATTATCAGTATTTCTATAATTAAAATATAAATCTACCAAATAGGTTGATGGATATAAGTTCAAAACGGTCGCTACAGAGTTAAATTGGAATTCTCTTAACTGCACCTATTATTAATATTGATTATTTATGTGTTTGTAATATAATAAGAAAGTGATATTTCAAATAGCTCATTATTTTGGATATATGTATAGGTCAACCTTTCAAGATTTTTAGTTCGATATGCATATATTAACAGTGAAGAATGTTTTTTTGTGTTTTAAATTTAAACGGTTTGGCACATTATACAAAATAAAAAAAAACATAGATCACGTTGGCAAAACATATAACTGTGAAATATATTTAAATTAACATAGCCGACCAATTTCAAATACTAAATGTAACTTTTTTATTGAAAATAAATTGAAATAAGTTAAACTAAAAAAATAGTTCATACCATGACTAGTAACGTTAAGAAAAAATATTGGTTGCCTGTAAAGTCGGTATACGGGCGAAAGTTTTACGTGACAACGACTCTCTCACTCTCTCTCTCTCGCTCTGTCTCTCTCGCTCTTAGGCGGGCTAACTGTGCTCGAGTGGAAGGGACGCGTGCCTTTCACTTTTTATGTCTGTCTCTCTCGCTCTTAGGCGGGCTAACCATGCCCGAGTGGAAGGGACGCGTGCCTCTCACTCGCTCTCATTGTGAGCGCATAACGTGAGCGGAGCGTAACGCAGTTTCTTGAAGTGTCACCCGGCAAACCAATTTATAAGACGTTGTCACGTCAAAACCCATTTATTAAATAATGTTATTAATAATTATAGCATTAGGGTAAACACTCATGAGCGCTTTTAAAACGTTCAGTAGTATGATATAATAACCCTGGAGCGTTCTTACATGGAAGAGACATGCTGCAGCTATTCTAGCTATACATAGTTGAAGAACAAATGGGTCGACTCGACCGGGGAACGACCAAACTCACAGAATACCAGTGGAAATCAGTAGCAGATCATTTTTACTAGTAAGGAGACAGTCTATTTTAGTTCTCCGGGGTGACAACGAATCTGCATTTTTATTACGTCTATGGGCCATAGCATCCACTTGGCATCAAAAAGAAATCTGCACGCATGTTCTTGCCAAGAGTAGGGATAATTATTAATATACAAAATATTACTTTATTCAGTTGAGAAGAGACATAGGTAGAAACCCGTCTGTTACCAGAGCAGAACTGTCTGCCAGTTAAAAAAAAAACTCTGTTGTGAATCCTACCATACAGCTATACATCGCCCGTTTGGACAAAAGTACGGAGAAGTAAAAGTAAGTTCGAACGTTCTGTGCTTCGTGGTAAAACGAATCCAATCCCGCAAAGAGGATCTCAACTCTATACATTTATTAAAGCCCGATAGGTTAACGAATTCAAAATCTTACGTACGTGCTAAACACGAGACATTCCTCGTTCCCGATTTTTCGCCCTCTAGCAGTGTATCGCCGATACGGGGATGCGCCAAAGAAATAGTTACTAAGTATTTTTTGTTTTTATATATAATTAGATTAAGATATATTACATATTTTATGGACAACTTTTAAGTCCTTGATGTCTTTTGTATATAATTCAGTTCCAAATAATATACAAAGACTATAGAAGACTTTTACCGATTTCATGTTTTTAAATTTGGAAATGGGTGGGGCGGCATTTTTGGTCTCAGCGACATTTTTGGCCTCAGCGACATTTTTGGCCTCAGGACATTTTTGGCCTCAGCGGCAGCTGCCCATTTACGTCACTGTTTATAAAAGAACCTGAAGGTTTTGAAAAAAGATCTAAAGCTAAAACGAAGTAAAAAAGCGCTCATAAGTTTGAGTCCAACATACTAATTCATTATACTGGCCTCTTATTGGAATGTAAGCTACATGATTAAGACCTTTCATTAATATTATTAACAGGCTAAACAAAAATATATGTAGTATATCCGACTACTGCCACGCGCAGCATAATGCATTTACATTCTAGAATCTATCATTGTCCGAATATACATCTGTACTTACAATGTGGGCCAAACTTTTAATAACAAATTATATAAGTCGATTACAAGCCAATTTACTATTCTTTTTAGTGATCAAAGATTTAAAATATTTATATATTATTTAGAATATATTTACTAACGTATTCAGATGAGTTTTTTATTAACATCTTTTTACAATTCTTTTTTAAACGCCTTGATATGGTTGTATGTAGCTTTTCTTGTTATCGACTTTCAAATTAGGATAAATCATTTATAATACCTTACCCAGGATTTAACTCTGATTTATGTAAAATGACGTGACAAAACTTTACCGTGCATAAAAAATATGTTAAAAAGCCATAAATAAAGTAAAATTTGTGCTTGTTACAATATTCAAAAATAATAACTGTTTATACTAAATATGATAATTAATTTTTAATTTTTATTAATTTTAAAAACTTTATTGCGTCTCCTTAGAAAAAAAAGTATACAAAGGGCGGACTTAATGACTAAAGGCATTCTCTACCAGTCAACCCATAATTCATACAGAACTTTAAATTGGATTGTAAATTTTATGAGCAAATTCACATCATAGTTAACTAGTTTGTTTGATAGTTGCAATATATAAAGCCAACTTACACATTTTACTCTAAAAAGTACAATCGAGCAACAAAATAGAGACCAATATGAGGTAAGTTTTATTGGTATCGTCAAATACATAAATCTAGAACACTAAACGATTCGATGCTTAAGATTTGAGCAGCTTGTTCGCTCGCTGGTTTGCTACTGCTATGCGAGTCTCGTTGCTTTCACCCTATAAACATAAAAACACATGTAGCATAGGTAATAATATACACGAATAAATGGAATATGTTACACACATACATTTATGAGAATACTACTAACTTGGCAGTACCATTTTGTGCCATTTTTTAACCATATTGTTATAATATGAAATAGTGATCGTGGTTAGTATAAACATATTTACAAACCTTACACTGCGTAATGACCGACAAGCGGTCAGTTAAACTGATCAGTTCAAACCGATGAAAGCCAAAACGATTTCCTCACTCACTAGCTTCACACTTACGGCCAGTATTTGGATGTACGTCAGTTCAATTGATCAGTTTAACTGACCGTGCGCCCGGAAAAATCCGTCGTTTGCCGTCAGTTAAAAATTTCAACTTAAGATTTCACACTCACAGTCAGTTTTTGAATTTACGTCAGTTCAACTGATCAGTTTATCTGACCGTGTGTGTCGAGCATAAGGATAAATTAATAATAAATATATATTTTATAATATAGTGACAAAACGTGATTAGCGTCTTCTTACATCTCTGAAAAAAATAACTTACTTACTTGAAAAGAATGTTATTCGTTTTTTTTTGCGTAATACATATTTAATGATTTAAAACATTTTAAAGTTAAGTTTAGATAAAAGATAAGATGAGTAGATAGTTGTAAACTGACGGTCTTATTCATAAAAATATTTTCTTTTTATAACGTTGTACACATTAGTAATGTGGCTAATTTTATGGATGTTTCACATGAGTAGCATTTTATGTTTACTTTGATTTTGGGTTTTAGTTCAAAATGCGATAAGTTTTCAATTTAATTTTATAATAAAAAGTACACACACTCAAATAATTTTTTCAATGGACACAAGGTCCACCAACACAAACTCGTTACGAAACGAGGAGTTACACAAAGTAGTATTTTATGAAAAGTGTTATGCTCTTATTAATTATTTTACATTGCATATGATTTCACGACACTCCAGTGCAGAATCTGTAACGGATGGTAGCATTACTAATTATTGCTATTAGCAGGTACGTATATGCGAACCTTTAATATTATTGTAACTTTTATGAATAAGATCGTTAGAGGTTGACTTAGTAACAAAGTTGATTATAACGATAACACTTAATATAAACTATTGTAAATATACAAAATTTGAAGCGAAAACTCTTCTCATTGAGACTGTGCTTTAAGAGTGCAAGCTGTGTCTTATCTATACATACATTTTATAAAATTAATACTTACTGATGTCGCCGACGAGTTGTTGTGTGTAAGTTTACTGTGTTATGTGACTGTCTCGTGGCATTTGTTCGAAACTAATGTTTTATACACATTATTTATATGTTAACATTAGATTGACTACTAGACTTTTAAGAGTTCTTTATAATGATTATATATTATTTTAGTAAATCGGTCATAATAGGAAAAAAAAAACTAAGTGCAATCTAATATTTAATGTTACCGTTTTGTGAACATTTTTTATGTTTCTATTAAAATTTTTAATCCAAATTATTCTATGTTCTTATAGAATATTATATTATATAAAACTATAATAATGTTTTTTTTGGCTGAGGGCCTTGTAGCTAAAGACCAAATAAATGCACTAAAAACATCGATATATATGTACTACGTACTAGATATGGAATTCCGAACACTCACTATGTTCAACTGAACTGTACTGCAATCCGTAAACCTATTATTGTGGCTTCGATATTCATGCAGTGCGGAGCGGCGTTAAAATAATTTTATATAAACTACCACATATGCAAAATAAATGAAAATTAAAAAAAATGTACTCGATTAACAATACAATCTAAATAAACAATTATTTATATCACAATTTTCGCGCGTTTTATATTAACTGCGCATGCGCGACTCTACTGTTTCCCGCGCACGTGCGGATACAGAGTAGTGCACATTTTTTGTTTGGAATAGCTTCTCTAGTACGTAGCACATAACACATAACTCAATGGCTAAAAAGATGTTCTCTTTCTTTTTAATAAAAATATAATTTGGAGGGTAAAGAATTTACGATTAAAAACATGAAAGAAATAACTCAAATAACTTCTAATCACATTGATTTATTACTAAATAAATTAATTAGTTTGTGTGTATAATTTAGTATACACTAGTTTAAAGATCTATTAACTGATTACTCGAAAAATTTCACAGAAGTAGATAAATATGTTGTTTTATACTTATTTTATAAACGGTATGCAAGAATGATTATATTGACTTTTATCATGTATATACATATCACGTGCTACTATGAAAAGTTTAAACAGTCGAGAATTCTAATTATGGGAACTTCCGCATCTGGTTGGCTCACATGTCACTACAAGACATTAATGTGGCTACCTATACTATTATCACATATCATCGCGCTGTATCGGACACTATTTGTATCCAAATAAAATACATTAGCGCTTATGCTATACAAAAACTCACTGAGTGCCATATATGAAACAATTTTAATACTAACCAAGATTAATATAGGGACTTGTAGATACACTTAAAATTATCCATTAGGAATTTCATATACCATATTATTGAGAAAACGCATTTATGTGATATTTTATTAATGAATAGTTTAACAACAAATAAATGCACTAAATAAAATATGAAATCCTAAATCCAGGCAAGTCTATACACAGATGTAATGACTTTATTAGTTATAAAAATTATCGGTTCTATAAAATTAAATAAATCTATACTGAATATACCAAGAGTTGAGAACATTATATATACGCAGTATTATTAAACTTTCAATATTTCGAATAAAGAACAACCCAAACATTTGTCGGTCCATATATTTTATTTATATATAATAACAATAAATAACGCATATAAGTATATATATATATATATATATATACACAATATGTAACATAATTAACGCACTTTGAGAAAGTAGTTTGTTCAGAATCGTTTACTGAATCGATTCCTATAATATATATTAGGTAATTTTTTATCCCAAAAATAATTAAAACTACGTAAATTACAGTCACACTAAATCTCTACAGTCAAAACAAACTGAAAAGGACCGTAACTTAAGACAATAGGACTTTTAAGAGTGCAGTTTTATTTGTATTATTACTAATTCTGTCATTCAATAAAAATAAAGAAAAATGAACTTTATTTCTAGCATGTTAAAGTCTTTGCGTTCGTGGATTTGTACTGTCACCACAACATTCTTCCGGAATTGGTATAACTTATTTGATAAATAATCAGTGCATAAAAATGTTTAACTAAAAATTCAGTGTATGTATTATGATTATAACATAATATACTAATTGGGGTGTCTGAGGGTGTGCGTTAATTACGTTACATATTGTATATATATAGGATGTTAGTGTAAACACCGTTATCCTTGAATCCAGTGGTTTGGTTTCACTTACAGAACGTAAATTCAATGAATTTAAAAAAAAACGCTTCTTTCATAAAATTATGTATTATACTGTCCGACACCGTCCGTAAATTCATGGATACCCTATGCTCCCGAGTGACGTAATCACTGTAAAGATCACCGCCCGCGCTAGCTACCTACACAACATTCAACATAAAAACACAATAGGTACGAATAACCTGTGATGTAAATTTCCCTTCATACTTTTATCCTGGCTTAGGACAGGCAAAAATTGAGGAATTAAGGAAAAATTAAGATTTTACTAAAAAAATGTTATTTTTCATTGAATTTACGTTCTATAAGTGAAACCAAACCACTGGTTTCAAGGACAACGGTGTTTACACTAACACTCTGTATAATAAAGGCCAGGTTTGTTGAGACTGGCCGGGTTGAGGTTGAGTTGAGTAGGCTTGGCCTTAATGCATAGGGGGGAAAGAGGGGGGGGGGCGTTACATAGTTACGCGTTACGTAGTTGGAGAGGTGGAAATGCAGACAGGTTAGAAAGGCGCCTTGATAGTTGCATTAGAGGCAGATATCCCCGTTCAAGGAGGGTCCACCAGTAGGAGGTTGGTAGAGTAAGAAAACGTAGTCATTCTAATATGCGACGGAGGTAGATTACCAAGTCCAACCTAATCTGTCCTTGGGTCCCGCGAAGAGGGAAAGTGGAAGCATTTGCTCACGATTGAGCGCCTGCTACGAGTACATTTCCATAGGAATAGACCTTAAATTGATTTATTTTAAGCAAAAAGGCCGCGACTAAAGGTTTAGCTAAACGACATAGCAGGTATCAGAAGTTAGGTTACACTCTCCGTCGACCAATCTACGACGCAGACCGCAACATTTTGCTAACATTACCCAAGATATTTTGTATATTATGTATCAGATCGCCTTTTACAGACTTTACCTATTATTATTATTATTATTTCTTAAATTAATATTTAAAAAACTAATACAAATAATTTTAATCTCTTTAGTGGTGCTTAATTTATGTATGTTAATTCTGGAACAAGTTTTAGCGTACTGATGATAGATATTTAAAAAGTGAAACAATATCAAGAAATTAAACAAGTACACGATGAAAACGTAAGCCGACTGCAGAGATAACAGTAATGCGGTTTTCATTTTTATATAATATTTAATGTAATAAGGCAAAAAGTGCTTCAAAGAATATGTCTCTGTAAGGCTCTCAAGGTTAATTTCAGTTGCTAATTTAACGATCCGTACTTTTAATTATATTATGAACAATTTTTTAAATTTAAATAAAATACAAAAAAATACCAATTAATATACGTAAATTAAGCAATAAATATAGTTTCAGTGCGGTGTAAATAATAAAAAATAAGATTAGCACAGCTACTTAATTATAAGTAGTTTTCTTAAAAAAAATAGTAAAAAGAAGAATTGGGCTTTCAGGCCCGAAATACACAAATTGAAAATGACTAAGTAATTGGATATATTTATTATCTTACGTTGAATACAAAAAATAGGAATGTTACGATCTATAATTCGAAAAATATTAAAATAAGAAATAATTTAAAAAATGAATCTTATTAATAGAATCGATTTAAGCTTATTTAAATTCAAAAAAAAATTAAGGAATTTAAATTAAATTAGTTACAAGAATGACATTTGACTTCATTCAGAATAAAATATATTATTATTTGCCTATGGAATAACATTTTTATGCCAATAAATCAATTGATATAAATAAATAATCGATAGATTAGTAGAACTATCGCTCCCACGTAGGTAATAGTTTGTATGTAAATAATTGTTTCCTAATACATTATTATTTGCCTATGGAATAACATTTTATTGCCAATAAATCAATTGATATAAATAAATAATCGATAGATTAGTAGAACTATCGCTCCCACGTAGGTAATAGTTTGTATGTAAATAATTGTTTCCTAAGTTAAAAATCGACTGATTTCTTATATTTACGCGAACACTACACATTGAAATAATACTAGTTTTTACGGAATTTATCGCGTATATTTAACTTTTTAAATACTTGACGTTTCGAACGCTTTACAGCACTCATGGTCACGGGCAGGACTGAGATGTTAAGTATATTCATAGTTAACTGTTTAGATTAAAATTAACTTTTGTTCGTCTATGCATAAGTATCTATCCATAAGTTCATACTGAATCGGAACAGTTTTTTAATCTATGGTAACCGCGGTTAACTATGACATATGGACGTTCAACATCTCAGTCCTGCCCGTGACCATGAGTGCTGTAAAGCGTTCGAAGCGTCGGGTATTTAAAAAGTTAAATATACGCGATAAATTCCGTAAAAACTAGTATTATTTTAAAAATCGACTGTTACAGTGTAGATAATACATAACTTGTTACTTAATCTAAGCTCCTGGGTTGATAAACCTCGCCAGTTTTTCGGCTATCAATTGTTTATATGTACACTTTCAACTGGTGCTATTTTCATCTTGATAACGACTAACTCCATCGTTGCAATTTCCGATGATAGGCTACTTTTTGCATCTGATACTTTATATGAATCATAATAGTGATACAGAAGCTGAAGTAAATATTTTCAAATATCAAGCTAATTTTTTGTATCGAGCAGGTCTTTAAACCCAACAGAATAGTCAACTTGAAAAAAAAAAGTGTGATGTATTTGGGTGTTCCTTCAACCATCATCTTCAGTTTACTTGAGCAGCTCATGAGTGCGCTGGTTCGCCAAAGTTATCCTCGTTTCATTCGATTCACCCTAAGATACAGAGTATATTTGTTTGCTAATTTATTTTTTTTATTTAACAACAGTTTGAGGTCAACTTATATTAAGATCTGTCCAGGCTTATTCGAAATGCTTCGTTTTTAACTGTGTAAAATATTATTATAAGCAAAATCCCCCCCCCCCCTTTTTATTACCGTTACCATAACAGCCTATTAAAGTCCACTGCTGAACACAGGCCTCCCCCATAGATCGCCTCATAGGGGGATAGTTGCCATAGTTGTTCCGCTTGGCCAACTTGTATTAAAACATATTCTTTATACTGTTTTAATGTATCCTCACTATGTATTATTGTATTTTTAACGACACATTTGGCATTATTTTAAAGCGTAATTTTATTTTCTAGCCATGGATAGATCTTAAATTAAACGAATTAAAACATATTCGATCTTATTACAAAACGTGGTTTATGATAGTCTAGTCTTTGTCACGACAAAAGCCCCTTTACCGAGTCGCTTCTTTGCATTTTAATTCGCGTATTTTCTGCGGGACTTATTTCTTGAAACAGACTCCAGTTTAAACCTGAGACTAAGTATAAACTTTTTTTTGAAATAAGACGGTATATTTTCTATATATTACGTTACTGTGTTATACAATTCATAAATTTATCATAACATAGTTAAAATTTTACAAACCAATTATCATCAACTAACAAAACCTTTACCAAAGGATAAATATCTATTATTAAATGTTTAGTTGCCACAGATAATGAACAATTGTTAAATGAAAGTTGTAAGTGTAAGTAAATGTTATTAATATGATAGTTACAAGAACAAATAATTAATACACTCTGCTGTAATACATAAAGTTAAAGGACATGCTTTAGTTTTGGTTAAACGGTTACAATTTTCTGTTACACCATAGAGGATTTATGTTATGCGAAGAGTAATTTATTTTTGTGGTATTGTAAACTGTTTCACTGAGACTAAAGAAATAAATTTCTAAGCAAAATTGTTTTGAAGGTTTCTAGCTTTTAACTTTTGCTTATTTTATAATAGTAGAAGTAATAAAGAGAAAGTATTTAAAACGATTTAAATTTCTAAGTACTAATAAAAATTGTGATCTCTGCAATCGGCTGTTGAGACCACGAGACGTGTGTACATGTATGTTTCTGTGTTTGTTCGTGCCGTCGTTTACTTGAGGAGCTCGTGCGCACGTTGATTCGCCACCTTTATTCTGTCATCGTTCGATTCGCCCTAAGATATACAACAAAGCGTTTTGTGTCGCCTCTCAAGTTATGTACAAGAATGTGCCATTATCCTTTACACATAAAACCAGATATAATAAGGTCATTGTTAATGTAGTAGTCTTCATAATTGTAATAAATGGGGAGAGAGAGAGAGAGAGAGAGAGAGAAAGAAAGAGAGATAAAGTACGAAGCGTTAAGTTAATTAAAAATTAAATATGAACTTTAAAAACTGTTGTACAAATCTGAGAATTATTTCTGGTTTTACTGTATAAAGGTTGTTTGAACATTTTAATGTACATCAATGTTTCTACAGAATTTGGATGTGTGATCGAATAGTTTGGATATGTTGAGTGCATGATTTTTTGTACTAGCCTTTAAATGGTCTAAATCTATAAATCGACTAGCTGATATTTTCTATTACGGATGTAATATATTTGAATAGTGTTGAATGAGTACGGACATTTGTGTAGAAGTTATTGACAAGAACTAACCACTTCTATACACACTTACTACAAGGTATGAAAGAGAAGGCATGCTTCGAGTGAAAAGGACAGACTAGTGATTCATTCCGCTAAGCTAACTCACGACTTTGATTTTAGGTTAGTAAGCGACAGTTATGGTTAGAATATACAAGACGCAATAGTAACACGAACTCAATTTGGCAACAATGATGTTTATAGTATATAACAGAATTCCACTTTCTATATCGTTATTAAATACAAAATAACTAAAAAATACATGGTTTAGAAATGTATAAAGGAACTAAAAAAAATATTATATTTTTTTACAACAACTGTGTTGTAAATGTATGTGCTTGTGTTTTGTAAAAAGTGGGAACGCCGTTTACACTACTTTTATAAACTACACATACAATTATCATCCAACTACTTTCTAATATTAACCTACACGAGAGAAAATGTCGATGATAAAGGCTAGGATGGGGTTCATTAGTAATTTAATAATACACAGTTGAAAAAATCTGCTAGAACAGAGACTTCACGTAAATAAATAAAATATTTACATTATTTGTATAAAAATAAGTTATACAATGTAAAAAAAAACAGGTGATTTCGCAGTCATGTAACGTAATAGATATTTAATGTATGTGTTATATGGAGAAAAAAAAATAACATAACGGGCGGCTGAAAAGTTCGCGGCCTAGGGTACTTAACGATGAGTAATTAGCTTGTTACTCATGTCACTAGTTGCAACACTCAGTAGTATATAAAAGCAATCACTAATTAAGTTTGCGCTCATAGTTCAATTATTTATTGAACAACAAACATCACCATACATATACGTCATAATTATCATCATACGTGGTAGAACCATGCTGCAGTAATATTATTAGTATAGTTGTAGCACGAACGGGTCGGCTCGACAGGGGAAGAACTACGCTCTCACAGAATACCAGCGTCAAATAGTAGCTTAGTGAGAGACCCTTTTTGCTGGATACGAAGCATTCCATCTTAGTCCTCACGGGTAACAACGCATCTGCATTTTGATTCGTAATCAAGGGTAGATGTAGATGTATGTGAGATTACTATCAGGTGGATTGTGTGCTCGTTTGTTACCCTATCCTATAAAAATAAATAAATAAATCATGTCTGTCGAATCTGGAAATTTCGGAATGAAACCGTGATAAAATTCCTCGTAAAGAAGGGAAATACACCGAAAGACATTTTTGAAGAGATGTCATCAGTTCTTCAGGATTCTGCGCCTTCATATACGATGGTGAAAAAATGGGCCCGCATATTTCAACAAGGACGAGAGAGCTGTGAAGACGACACTCGCTCGGGCCGCCCTGTCACGGTACTGACCGAAAAAAAGGTCCGAAAAGTCGAAAAACTCGTTCTGGCTGACCGAAGAATAAAATTGTGACAGATTGCTGAAGAACTGCAGATAAGCAAAGAACGAGTTGGAGAAATTTTACATGAATATACTTGAGAAAAATTAGCAAGCGCTGGTTACCGAAAATGCTCACACTGCTCAACAAGCAACGTCGACTCGCAAGTTGCAAAGATTTTTGGAGCTAGTCGGCGAAACAAGGAAGACATTTGGCAACGGATAGTCACCGTAGATTAACAAGGATTCGCCAATATGATCCGAGTCGATGCAATGGATAAAAAAAGGGAAAGGCTGCCGAAGAAATTCAAGTTGGAAAAGTCGGAGTCCAAGCTAATGGCAACTGATTTCTGTGATAGCGAGGGAATTTGGCTTATTGACTATTTACTCAGAGAAACTACGGTAAATGGCCAATATTAGCCAATTTATTGACTCAGGTTCGCGAGGCTATTGTACAGAAACGACGTGGGAAACTGAAGCGCTCTTTCTGCAAGACAACGCGCTCGTTCACACCGCACATGTTGGGAGGCAAGCGCTGAAAGACACGGAGTTCTTAGAGATAGACCACCCTCCGTATAGCTCAGACCTAGTTTTCCTGTTTTCCAATTTGAAAATGGAATTACCGGGCCGGAGATTTGCAGATGACAACGAAATGAAAGCTGCGTTTGATCGTCATTTTGAAGAGGAAGATACAGAATATTTTTTGCGTGAGTTAACGGCATTGTATGCGAGATGTGAGAAATGTATTTCACTTGAGGGGTTATATCGAAAAATAAAAAATAGAAACCATATATTTTCTTTCATTAAGTACCTTAGGCCGCGGACTTATAAGCCGCCCTGCATATAATTTGATTATATTATTGCATTAAATTATATACCACAAATTCTTCTCTTTTTATCATTTGAAGGCAAAGGGTTCATCCCGATACGGACTAGTCAGATGTGTAATTCTTAACAATTTGGTTATGCGCTAAAATGCGATTTTGATGACACAATAACTTGAAGTTTTTTTATTAGAATTGTTGCATATACTTTTTCGTTTTTATAAATAGTTCACATGCGCAGATTTTTTATACACAAAATCGCACTACTTTTACGTATCAAAATTCACTTCAAAACAAATTTAAACGATAATAAATACAGGAATAGTATTTTGCCGGCGGTCTAATTTATACTAAAATTAATAAAATAAAATAAATTATAAAGTAACTTTCGGGTTGAGAAAATCATATTATTATAATTATAGCGTATAAGAAATATAACTATCGCAATATTTGGCGTATTTTGTATGATCGAACATTAACAATTTTAAACGAGTAAACATTACAGAGATTTACACAGCGCATAATAAAAATTTTAAATGAAATAGCCAAAATTGTAGCTTAGTTTTGACCACGGAATCACCTGTTTCAGAAAAAAACAAGGATAATTTACGATTGAGACCTTTCACGTGGATAAAAATGTGATACGTTACCTTGCGATTGATACGGTCGATCTGGCGGTTCTGGTTCTCGAGCTCAGAGCCCATGTCGAGCGCCATGTTGCGCAGGTTGCCAATCATTGTGTTCACTTGACCCATGTTCTCTTCCATCTCATCCTCGCGGGCGTCGTTTGTTATCCTGTGAAGTGTTAATTACTAGTGTAATGGCGTTATTATAAAACAAAGAGATTTAAATATATATATATACATATATATATACTATAGAGCAGACATTGGGAACATTTGCAAACAAAAACTGTGAACACGCGCGTGTGTTAAGCCCTCTAGCGAAAAATAGCAATACTACGCTGAATATTTATTTGAAAAACATTTTAGCTATTTCCTATTAGGTGACGCTTCGAAATATAGGGTAAAAATCGGCTTTAGGCACGTCGTCAATTACTAACATATTTGTAAATAAATAGTGCCGTTACTGGATAACAGAGGGCACTTATTACAATAATTTTCTTTCTTCTAGAACAATCTGCCAGAAATAATAAAATTTAAAGATTATTTGTTAAATATGCATTATTCTTAGGATAATAAATTGAAATCATGTTCATTTTTTGCTCCATATCGTGACTTACTATACCTTAATGCACAACCGGGCATATATTATTTAAAAATATTTTTTAAATTTATGAAACGAATGCGTCTTGACATTTCGGTGATGTCACTTAGACTAAATGACAAAAATCGGAGATATATCCTATAGGACAAAAGTTACAGACGACAATTTTGTTTCTGATGTCCGGTCTATTACTACTACATACTTAAATGTCTTAGTTTTAAAATCTACTTGGTACTAGTGGTGGACATTCAAAACTGCGTTTATTAAATTTAATTTGTACAACTACTAGCTATTGGGTCAGTGATTCAAAATCGAACATTGTTAGAACTACGAAAAACATTATTATTTATTAAACACAGGATAAAGGTGATTTACGTACGAAAATTTATCTCAAAATGGCAAACTCTGTCAAGTTTAGCTTGATAATTTTGACAGCTCATGCCTATGAAGTTTCGTATTTTTTAGATAAATTGTCATACAGATATTGTTGTACTTCATGGATGGGTACCGCCTACTTACGATAGTGATGTACCACGCTAAACCATACCATGCCATAACGAACAACCACAGACTATCAAAAATCGGTTTCAAAATAAATCGAATACACAAAAATCACGTAAATATGTATTGGAATTGGCTCTTTTTTAGCAAAATATGTTCTATTAAGAGCCTATACAATCTCAGCTCAAATTCTAATTTTGCACTTCCCCGCGCGTCGTATGCTATATCTACCTACATGTTTGTAATCACTAATACTGTAAGTAGATAGGTCGGTAGATACTTATTTCATTAGGTTTATCATATCTTTTGCCCGTTTCTTTACGTTACCCCAGTCGCTTCTTATTTTTATTGCGGTTATTTCTCATTTTAATTTTACGTCGTACTGTTGCGTATTCTGTGTATTCTGAGCCCAACCGATACAGCTTTCCCGTTCGAAAGCCGAAGCGACACTGAGCGGGGGTACCGGGCGGCAAGGAACAAGCTTCAAGACACCAATAGTTTATGTAATTTCTTTTTACGATGAAAACAATGGTAATAAAAAAAAACATAAGACCTGCTTTATTGTTAGTTCAGTTAGTATGCAAAGTTTCATGATCTAATTTGAAGTATTTTGTGAATACCAGCGGTTCATTGTTCGGTTTGGAGGTAACTTTGGATTTTATTTCTATCGAGAAAATTTTACGGAATCGTATTTTCGTCTAACATATAATATTATATTTACATAGTACTTAACATTAATCCTCAACTTTACCAAATATTTATTTAAAAATTAATGCTGCAATATTTTCAACATAACGGAGGATCATGCTAAGCCATTTGAGGTAGTATAGGTTCTTAACGGTAGGTACTGATTGCGTGACAGCCCTATATTGTCAGCTGTTATATATCTATATATAACAACTGACAATATATGGCTGATAATATAGACTGCCTCATTGGTCTTGTGGTTGTAGTAGTGCGACTGCTGATCATGAGGTCCTGGGTTCGAATCCTGGGTCGGCCCTGAAAATCAATTGCTGAGTTTTTCTGGCAAGAAATTCTCAGTAGCTGCCCAAAGTCAGGAAGTTGCCGGTGTCTCACCGGTCGTGTCGGTTTACCGTGCTATCGGATTATGAGAGTGAGGGAATAGAGAGTGCACCTGTGCTGGCGCATACACTTGGGCACTAGAATCCTGTCCTGCTCCGATGGCTAGGCTCCGTTGAGGTAGGCCGCCGTGACCGAAATTCGGTCTGGAAGACATTATTATTACTATTATAACATCTATATAGTATGGCAAGCCATCATCAACACAAGCGATAGAAGAAGACACGGGAAAAAATTGTCGACGTCGAATAAGAAAAGGAGTTTCGAGTATCACTGACTTTGTTGCCGCCGCAATACGCAACCTTGCATACGAGTATCAAAGATGTATGTGCTGTATTTAGTTATACATACGTATATATCTATTTTAAGCGATCTGTTATACTTTTTTATATTCGCTCTCGATCTTCGCGATTATTTTCCCACCACAATATTAGCAATGTAGAAGACCTAATCAAACATGCCTTTTAAATAAACATTAGAAAAGCAAGAACAGGATTGGTGGCAGGAGATAAAATTCTAGAATGAACCTAAGTATCAATTTTTTTTTGGATTGCGTTATGCACTAACCTGCCTATGTAACCGGCTTGTGGACCTATACCGTTTCGCTCGTCCATGACTCGCTGCGGCTGGTTGTTCACTACCTTTCCATCATCGTTGCCCTTCCATGTGCCATCGTCCTCCTTGAACGACGCTCCTCTGAAATCCAGAAACACGTCTTTTTGTTATACTACTGGTAGTTAAGGATATACCAATTACTAGCTTAATTTTGAGGTCTGAGATATCTTTCTTTTCACAAAAATACACATACGTTTTACTTACAAGTGAAGAATTTAAATAAAATCATAAATGTTTGGGAAATAATTGCACGAGTCAAGGAACTTAACAAAAAACATGTTCTGTTTTTGTCTAAATGCAAAAGTGTCGGCCACAGAAAATAGTATATTATAATATTATAAAAAGGCAGATTTTTCAAACTCAAATAAAACCATAAACAGTGAGCCCAGGTTTTGGTGCTATGATAACAAATGCCAAGAACGTTTTATCAGAATATAGCATTTCTTTTGCCGGTACTTTCACATTCGAACCGAAAATGTATAAGTAAACACGGATCATGTTCTTTTATTAAATATTTTGACAGTACTACTGATTAAATAATTGTTTGATCGATACTTATGCTCGAATACAACAGAATACACAGATCATGCGTGACTGGAAGTGGCTTATAGTATTGCGCGTTTGAGGTAGTTTTTTAAAAGGAGTATATCTTTTTCTATTGATTTAGATTCGTATAGACCCATAGAAAATACCTGTTTTAGTCGCCTTCAAAAAAGAAAAGATTCTCAATTCGACTGCATGTTTTTTTTGTTAAATTATTAAACACGTTACACCTTAATTAAAAAAATAGAGTAGAAAAACAACGAGTGAAGTTCTTAATACCACTGCGTAGCAGAATTCTAGTCGTTACTTTGAGATTTTGATATTCCTAAGCTAATTCAAAGGGATCAAAATTACAATTTCACTAAAAATTAAGAGACTTCAAAGAATTAAAAAGAATAAAATAATATCCATATAACAGCTCTTGAAGTCGGACATTGCGTATCGCAAAATTAAAGCCCGACTGTTGTTACATCAAGTAGGCAACATGTAGGTTTTTTTATAGGATAGCACACAAACGAGCACACAGTCCACCTGATGGTAAGGGGTTGCTGTGGTCCATAGACACCTCCTACATCTGTCCTCGACTGAGACTCAAAATGCAGATGCGTCGTCACCCGTGAGGACTAAAATGAAACGCCTCGTTTCCAGTAAAAAAGGGTCACCGGTTCTCTACACTCAACATACGAAACACAGCAGCATTAAGCTACTATTTTACGCTGGGCATTCTGTGCGTGGTACTTCCTCGGTCGAGCCGACTCATTCGTGCTACAACTATACTACTAATATAACTGCAGCATGGCTCTACCACGTATAAAAATTAAGATTTTACGATTCACTAGAATATTTTGTAAAACATAGAACAATTAACTGAAGGACAACTAATTTGTGAACATTTTATTATAATCATTATACTAGACAAACATTTCAACATGAAGAATTAACATACTTATTGCAAGGCAGTGCGCAGATGCCGCAGCACTTCTCCATCCCCGACAGATTCTTCTCAGCCTCCCGCATGTCCGCGTTGATCTGGTCCATCCCTTCCTCGATCCTATCCAATTGTTCTGTCCACACACATACATGATCGCTTTAGAACCGCCCTTTTTAAATACCTCAAGATAATGTGTTAAAGCACCTAACCATCTTTCGTTTCTACGCGATTTAATTTTGATCATGATTCTAATTGTTATTTTATTCATTTAACTTTTTCTGTAAATTCTCAACGCTCTCGACAATAACCAGAATTAAGTGTAAGACAAGATCATTGTTAGTATTTTTGATTATGTGATCTAATCTAAAATAATTCATGCTGACAAAAAACACCGAAGCGACTCTATTAAATTCAAAGCGACTAAAGACAGTTTAAATTGTGTTGTCTTGTTTTTTATCTGTTGTCAGTTGAATGTCTGTATATATTTTTGTCTCACACTTGATCCGGCTTGTACTAAAATTAACTATAATTAAAATTACCTTTAGATGATTTATGTGCTGAGACTAAGTGATAAAATGCTATAACTTGTAATGACTAACATATAGAATAATAATAATCTCATAAAAAACTAAAGTCATGCAACCAACAGCAAGATTAAGTAGTAGTAGACGTGCATAGCTAGATGCGTGAAAAACTAAAAGAAAACCATTCATACTGTCTGATTATTTAGATGATTGATAGGGTCTCAACGTCCCGTCACACGGCGTAGCGAGCGCGGGTACGAAGAGACAGATCGGTGCTCTTTATTCACTAATATCTTTAAATACGATGGTGGAAATGTTATCTCAATTTATAGTCCGTTTAAATAAATTGTTTGCATTTTCAAATCATTAAAAATATTAAATCATCGCTATTCAATGATTTAACTTAGGTTATCTCAACTGGCATCTCAGACACAAGCCTTACTATTATGGGTGATTTAAAGTAGTACTACTGGATGCTTACCGCCCTGTTCATCCAGCATGACCAGGGTTTTCATGCCCACCTCGTGACTCTACAACACAATAATGATGTCACTATAGCTCGCCAAAAGAATGCGCTGAGCGGTCGGAGCGGTCCGCGGGCGGTGGGGCCGCGCGCGCGCCGCACCGGTCAACTCATACGACAAACTCAAACTGACAACTAAACAGAAAAAAAAAGAAATGAACACGGGCGTGAGCCCGCCGCTACCGGCGGCCACTCCTCCCGTGATGGCGCGAAAAATAAATCAAGTTAGCAAATGAGCGTATCAATAAAAGCCATTCCTAAATGAACGGTGAATGTAGCAAAGTATCGTTTCAGTTCAAGAAGGAAATGAACCATCTAACATGTAGTGTGGAGGAGCGAGCGGCGGCCTCGCAGCCGGACATAGATCGCATCGAGCTAACAGAACAGTTACAGACCTACTGCACTAACATTAATATTACGTTTAGCCATGGAGATGAAGGCGTATACCATTTACTCTATAACGTCAACAGACACAATTGGTAAACGCGCATTCATTTCAGTACCGCAGTATCAATTAAGAGAAGAGAGTAGTAGGTTCGAAAAGAGAAATAAACATACCTATAAAAAGCGTTCCGATCAATAAAAATTCAACGGAAGAACTAAACAGATTGCGCAGCTCATACAAATTAAATCTTCAGCAAAAGATAGAAGTTACAGTCTTTTGCGACATTTAGCAACGAACGGCCATCGGGCGTATCTATTTACACTATGTTGTTAAAAATCATCCCCATCGAAACATAGAAAAAACACACGCAACATCGATCTGAGATAAATCGTTAATTCAAGAGAAACGTCAAAGAAAAAACAAAGAGATTAATTTAGGTTACTGCACATTCAACACAGACGTTCTCACGTTTGGTCTACCCATGTGTTCAGTTTAACTCTTACCGCCCTGGTGACTCAACATATGAAGCGCTTGCCCCCCGGCGTCCTCGCTCTATACATAAAATACAAATCAAAATAATATATCGCAGGAGAGAGTATCGGGGTGTGTGGGTGGTGGCGGGGTGCGGTGCCGGGGACGTGCGCACGCGCGTGCGGCGCGGCGCGGCGGTGCGGGGGGGCGGGCGGCGCGTGCGTGCGAGCGTGCGTGCGCGTGCGGCTGCGTGCGGGCCCGCCCGGCGCTAACACACACTACTCGACCAACAACGACATGCATGCAGTGAAGCTTGCAAGTAAACCCAGACTTAGTTTTATCTGTGCGCAGTTTCATATGATTCATGATAATTCTGTGTGATGTTCAGAGTCGTGCGTTGAGGAGAAGCGTTTCGAATTTACTTCGCTCGTTTATTTCAATACGTTTCATGTGAATTAGGTAAAGTTTCGAGAGTAGCGTAACAAACATCTGAAATGCACAATGTAAAGTATCGTACGATATAGCCCGTTTTTGTATGATGTCGATTCGTCGGTTCGGCCGCCCAACGTCATCGGGAATAGCGCTCGCTGTTAGGTTGTGCAAAGTGGTGTATTTATAATCTACATAAGAAATAAGGCATACAAAGATGTGGGTTTTCCGTGGCAAGCCGTGTGTGCGTCGTTAATAGTTTAGTAAAATATTAGAGGATGCCCGCACCTTTGCATTTTCTTTTTAACGGTGGCGTAAGTTTTAATAGACGAATTGCATTACCCCAGTGATTCTTCGCAACCGACGAACCCGGCTTTTGGGTTGGCTGAAAACCCTACGGCGCTCGAAAAAGATTAGCGAAAAAAGGTAAGTAGTAAAAAAAATATTGTAAGTAATTTATTGTGGCAAATTTTTCAGATCACTCACCTCCCTGGTCGTCTAGAGCGACCAGAGTACGAATGCCGGCCTCCTTGCTCTAGACAAGCCGCAGAAACAAAAAGTCACAGAGCATGTTAGTTGTGATGGGTACAGTAGCGTGAGTGGACGGTGGGTGATGACTGCTCGTCACACGCCGCACTGGGCTCGGTGCGACCGATTAGTCCATGCGTGTCACGAGTTTATGTAATGTTTTGGCTTACACTAGTGTCGCGAAAAGGGAGACATCTTTAAACACATATTAATTTATTGATGTTAAATTTTAAACGGGCAAATAAATGTTACTTAATGATGTCTTCCTTGGAATCTGAAAAGTGTAATGTAGTTATGCGAATTCTGCATGGTGTTTATTACATATAGATAATACGTTGTTCAGTACAGAAATATTTGTCATTTATTAAACATCACTAAAAACATATTTTAGAATTGAAATGAAAATGAAATCAATTCAATGATATAATTCCATACTGTATCGAATTAAAATGTAAATTATAAAAGTAAAATGTCGTTGTAAATAATGATAATTAATAATAATTTATCATTGGTTTGTATTTTAGTGTGAGAGTTGCATTCAGGTATAGCTCGATATATCTGTTGGAGTCAAGTGGTGGGTCCATGGTGTGTACTTGCCCATATATTGATAGTATTGTGAATGTTCGAGGAGGCATGAAAATCATATAACATAATAGATTACAGTCCACAACAGAGAGCAGCCACTACACACAGACCTACTATACGAAGACAACTAAAACAGGAAAGAAATCAATTTTCAGAAATAAAGACGTTTAGTTGAGCAGTTAGTGTCAGAATGTTAGATTTTTACATTGTGAGATTAATTTGTATAGGAAATAATAAAACATAATGACAGATTTGATACAAGGCACAACTCTAGGAAATCGTTGTTAAAGAAGAGGAAGACAGAGTGCGTTAGAAGGTGAATACAGCCACTGAGGCGGATTAAAACATAGGAGTCTAAATTGGATCGAGGGTTCGTTTTGAAAGCAAGCCCAAGCACAAAAAATAAGACAGACGAGAAAGAAAAGCACACTTTCAGGTCACATTATGCACTAGGGGATATACTAATATTTGAGAAGTATTGATAATCTATTTGAATATTTTTTTTTCTATTTTAATGGGCTTCATGCTATATAATCAACTCTTATTACTTAATAAGAGTTGATTTGGACGTAATTTATTCGGAGTTGACAGTTAACAGCTTAATAATATTTGAATTCTAGAGTCATTTCGATTACCATAATTTTTTTTAGAATTAACTGTCAACGCCTAAGGTACGTTCGATCCGGGAGCAGTGATAACTCACACAAACATACATCGCTACAAACAACACAAAGGACAAGAGAGACTGCTATCATTATCGGACACATTAAGGCACGGATCATGCAACACCCATTTACGTATGGTTATAACAAATACATATAATATATATTGCAACAGGGAATAAAAAAATAAAAAAAAGGTTTATCGGAATTGGACAGCTACAAAAATAAAGAAACACACCGAATATATAATAATTAGCAACATCGAAACACAACAGCCAGGGGTAGCAGAGGCTGCGCCCTAAGGAGTTCGAGGGACGGGCATCGGATCTCTAACCGAGTTTAGGGCTATCCAGGACACTTCCGCTATACCCCTCACTCCCTCGCATCGAGAACACCTCTCTCACAGTTCACAAATAATCACATAACCAAGGGAACAACTGAACATAAATACTTAAAAACTATGAGAGAAACTCAAATTCACCGAAATTTTCACATTTGTCGCACGTGACAGTTTCTAATATTTTAATTGCACAGTTTCTAATATAAAGAATCATAATGAAATGGGGACTCTCTCCAGTATACATTAACAAATGGAAGCTTTAAAAATTAGTAAAAAATATTAGTATTACACATTTAAATAGATCAAAACATTTATGTAGATAATATACAACTCTTTATTGCTTATAGTTTTCAACTTTTTTCTTTTTATACATATTAAGTTTTTTTGGTTATAATGGGGACTAGGAATCTTCCGCTCACCAGGTGTCGCTGGTTAGGACTGAGGTGAAGTTTTTTTTGTTAATGTCATTAAGGGGCAATAGTGAAAAATTAAGGGCCTATACTACTTGAAATGGCTTAGCAAGATCCTCCGTTATACCGAAAATATTGCAGCATTAATTTTGAAATAAATATATGGTAAAGCCGAGGATTAATGTTAAGTACTATGTTAGACCAAAACACGATTCCGTAAAATTTTCTCGATAGAAAAAAAAATTCAAAGTTACCGCCAAACTGAATAATAAACCGCTGGTATTCACAAAATATTTCAAATTAGATCATGAAACTTTGTTGTTGTACCATTTCAAGATCAGGTAGAAAATATAAGGGTTGATTCCAACTATTATACTTTATTTCACTTTCTACAATACTATCTCGAGTCCAGGTAGGAAACAAACGGTAGATTCAAACTATTACACTTTGGTTCACTTTACAATTTAAACTTATACAAAATTCAACTTCACTTCACGTCTTACTGCGACGATTCGCGTTGAGCTAATGCCACTCTCCATTTTACTAATCAACCTTTAGCACTTGTTAGCAAGGTGGGGCGGCGTCATTTCCGCCCCACTCTTTTACAGCAATCAAAACATTATCCTTCCGGTTACATTATATTACTCTATCCATTATCCGCAATCATTAATGTAAGTAACTAATAATTATTATAATATAAAGTCAAATCACTTATCGAGTAATTCCGTTATAAACAATAATATAGTGGTTATTAATCTAACAATAGCAATTATTAACCTAACAGCTCGGCCATCCTACTCAAAGCGAGTCCCATCGCTTCTACACTTAAAAAAAAACCCCCGCAAGTATAAAAGAAAGTAACGAAATTACATTTTTTTTTTTTTTTATTACATTTAACATATCCTAAACTAGACTAAGCATGATAGATATAAATACAATATTAATCAAAATAATAAAATCAAAATTTAAAATTGACCTTCCGTCATAAAATCTATAATTGGTATTAAATGCACAGTTATCTTTTTTTATGTTTGTATAATATAACCAATGAATATCTAATTTTAACTATTCAGTGTCAACTGTATTATTATCAGTTGAATCAGACTCAAAATCTCTATTGAAATTCATCCACGGATGAATTTTGTCAATTGACACTATAGCTTCATATTTTCTACTGTTTTTACGGGTAAGCGGCGTATCTTCAACTAGAAATCTGTCATTTGGTAGCACTTTTACTATGCGATACGGGTCTTGAAATTTAATTACAAGTTTTTGTGATTTTCCGTCGTGTGGGACTTGCTTTTCTAAACGTATTAAGTCACCTTCATTGTATTTAGTTGCGGGCTTTCTACGTTCATTAAATCTTTTTGCATCTTCAATTTGTTGTGCTTTAATTTTTGTACTAGCATCTTGCCTAAGTTCGTCTAACTTTTCTAATGGAGTTCCATTTAATGTGTCATTGATAACAGAGCTTAGGATGCCTTCTGATTTACCGGTTATATTAAATCCAAAAAGTAACTCAGATGGGGACCTTTGTGTAGTTTTATGCTTAGTTGTATTTATACCGACTTGAATATCCTGTACATAATTGTCCCAAGATTTATCGTCTTTACCATGTCCAGATGCCGATAAAGCATCTAAAATGGTCCTATTAAAACGTTCTACTTGACCGTTAGCTCTTGGAGTAGCAACGGCATTTGTGATGTGTTTGATACCATAAGACATAATAAAATCCTGAAAAATTTTACTCGTGAAGCTAGTTCCCTTATCGGTGATCAGTCTCGTGGGTACGCCGAAGTAACTTATGTGGTTTTTAATAACTTGTATGCTTGTCACGGACTTTGTATTCTTAACAGGAGTAATGTTAATATATTTTGTAAAGCCATCAATCAAAACTAACAAATAGCTATTCCCTTTCTTACTTTTCACAAAGGGTCCTAAGTGATCTGCGTGGACTGTGTGGAAGGGAATACTGACCTTATTTATTGTATGTAACTCTCCTTCACGTTTTCCTCCCGGCGCTTTGTGATGTGCGCACTCGAGACAAGACGTCACATATTTTTTTACAAAGCGGCGCATTTTAGCGAACCAATAATGTTCTTGGATTCGTTTCAATGTTTTTTCAAAACCACAATGCCTGATGTCGTCGTGGTTCATTTTGAGTATTTGCCAACGTACTCCCTTAGGTACTACCCATCTTAGTGAATCGCCAACAATTCGATAGACGCGCTCATTTTTAAGTTTGTAGTTTTTAATTATGTCTACATATTGGTCTGCCTTGGAGTCCGTTAATATGTGCTTTATTTTCTTTATTTCGTCATCAGCAGATTGCACGGTAACTATCCAGTCCGAATGACTTTGCTGTATCGCCAACACATCCCATATTAGCCGGTCATCTGCAATACCTTCAGACGAACAGTCCACCGGGTTTCTACTAAGCGCATCTGCATGAGACATTCGGGCGCCTGGTCGATATTCAATCGTGCAGTCGTATTCTTGTAGCTGGATCCACCAGCGCGCAATACGAGCTACTAAATCTCGTTTAGTCAGAGTGGATCTAAGGGCGTTACAATCAGTTACAATTTTAAAGTGTATTCCTATAAGATAGACTCTAAAGCGATTCAATGACGCAACCACTGCTAAAGTTTCGAGTTCGAATGAGTGAAGTTGACGCTCGTGTGCATTTGTTTTCCTACTAAAATAAGATATGGGCTGTAATGTGTTCTTTGAATTTCGCTGCAGTAATATTCCTGCCACACCTTCCTTACTTGCGTCTGTGTGAAGTTCTGTTTCTGCACAAGGGTCATAAAGAGCTAGCAGTGGGCGGTTGACTAGTATTTCCTTAATTTTTAAAAAGGACTCTTCTTGGCTTGGTCCCCATGTCCAGCAAGAGTCCTTCTTTAAAAGGCTAGTCAATGATGCCGTGATTGTAGCATAACCTTTGATAAAACGCCTAAAAAATCCAGATAACCCAAGGAACTGTCTTAATTCATGTTGGTTGCGAGGTTTC